ATATATATACATATATATATATATATATATATATATGTATACATACATACATATGTATATATATACATATATATAAATATATATATACACATATATATATATATATATATATATATATATACATATATATACATATATATATATATATATATATATATATATATATACATACATATATACGTACGTACACGTATATATACATACATATATACGTACGTACATATATATATACATACATATATACGTACGTATACGTATATATACATACATATATATATACATACACTTTATATATACACATATATGCATACATATATGTACATATATATATATACATACATATATATGCATACATATATATATATATATATATATATACATATATATATACATACATATACATACATATACATATATATATACATACATATATATATATACATACATATACATACATATATATATATATATACATACATATACATATATATATACATATATATACATACATATATATATATATACATACATATATATATATATATATATACATATACATATATACATATATATATACATATACATATATATACATATATATACATATATATATATATATGCATATATATATACATATATATATATATACATATATATATATAACAGTTTATCATCTTACCCAAGACAGAGGCTCTTAGAAGAGAAAGGAAACGTTTGTTCACCCTCTCACAATAGTTATTAGTATATCCTTTATATACTAACTCCTTAAACAACAAAGCAAAGATTAGCAAATGAAAGAAATTAAAATGAAAAAAAAAAGTGTTTATATAAATTGTTGTTTCATATAAAAAATCATTTGATTATTGTATAAAGAAATTAACGGTTTTCAGTCATTTTGTTGTGTGTATATCAACATATATTCAACAACATTTTATATATTGAATGAAATATTACGCATGTGTCATATATAAATACAGATTTTTTTTTTTTTACATAATATATACTTTCATATATAAACATATTTGTGTGTGTATATATATATATATATATATATAGTTTAGATAAGAAATATATGATATATACTTTCACCACTAGTGGGTTGTCAAGTTTTAGTTTTTTTTTGCTGTTGAGGAAGTCAGAAAATATTACATATTCTTTATTTTATTTCTGATGAAATGCTTGCTCTATTGCATAAAATCTCTGCATTTCTTTGTAGATTTTATAATTATCTTGCTTTACATTTCTGCTTCAGTTTGGCTTTTTGAACCAGCCATGAAGATGTACAGATGTATGGCAGAATTGATTTGGCTATTTCTAATTCCTCTTTCAATATAAATGAATGTATACTTGTTTTAGAATTATTTCTGGTATTTTGGTCCAAACCTATATTTTGGTTTGAGCTGCTGCTGCTGATTGCTGGAACAGATATTACTGCCTACTTGAATGGGTGGATACGACAAAAGTTCAATTATTTTTAACTTTCTTTTTCTGTTTGAAGAAACTTCCTTATTTTTGAATTGAATGATTATATTCGGGATCAATGGCACAAAGTTTTCTCACCTGGTTTATAATTACCATTCTACTTTTTTGTTTAAACCTTTTAAAAGAGGATCACCTTCATATTCTCGGTTTATGCTGAACCCATTAAAATCGGCTCCAGAGTTCAGTAAACAATGCTTTCTGATTGGCCCATAAATAATACTGTCATGTTTCTCCTACGTCCATTTGACCTCGATTTGACCCGTTCAGAGTTCAACGCAAAAAAATGTAAACGTTTAAAACCTCCTGATCCATGAAAACCTTTTCTCGGATGTAGTTAATCGTCTTAACCAGGACGCAGGCTTGTGAATTCAATTTTTTCAACATCCTGTCATTAACACAGCTAGGCGACATAATGTTACATTTATTCTGTCAGGTGAACGCAACCGCTTTCTAAGATTAATGAATAAAAATAAGTTAAAAAGGTTAAAAAATGACTGAATCAGGCCTTGGCAATGATCATCCTTTTTTGAAAATTGTGAACTGGCGCTACACAATCACAAACAAAGAAATGTACCAAATAATGGAAACCATATCGCTTCAGAACTTTTAACAGCAACAAGTAAAATGGATAGCATATGTAACTTGAATAGAAAATAATTGTATAATCAAAATGTTAACGTTCCAAACTTTATCATGTGAAATATGAGGAAGGAAACTCCTATCTATACTGGAAAGAACGATGGCAGCAACAGAACTCGAGAAACGTATTTTCTTTAAAAATGTTTTAATAGTGTTGTGGTGTCCTCCCTCTATAGAGTCTATGTTGGACTCTTCCGCCTACTATAAGATTCGTAGGTGAGAAGGCCTTGGGTGAACAATCGCACAGATTGTTTGGCTGTCGAACTCTCTGCCTCGGCAGAGAGGAACTCGCACGAAGTTTTGCCGCAGGGCAAAATTTCGTCCGGGGAGGTAGACAGTCCTTGAACTCGTCTAGGCGATGTTCGAAGGGAATATTTTTGGCTGAGCCTACGGGCTCGGAGAAACCCACGTTAAATTCGGCCTTGTGCCACATATATTCCTTGTGGGGGGACTGTTAAATATAACAGTCGAATAGATTGAACGCTGGGTCAAGCGACACACACTCATTATCTCAGAAGTTTACTCTGTAACGACATACTAATGTACGGAGACAGAGTAGTAATCCTATTTACACAACAGAAAAGAACATTAAAGGAAATCCATGTTGGCCATCCGGGAACTTCAAGAATGAAGAGTCTAATGAGCAGTTACGTCTACTGGACCAACATAGACAGAGATTTTTGAAAACACTGTAAGATCATGCAAAGAGTGTGCTTTGGCTGCTACAGCACCCCCGATAAAATTCCTGGTCTAAAACCAACCGTCCGTGTTCGCAGATACGCATTGATTTTGCTGGCCCACTTGATGGGTTTTACTACCTTGTAGTAGTTGACAGCTATTCAAAGTGTCTAGAAATATTGAAATGTAAGAAGTCGTCCGCGGAGGTGATAGTAAAGTTTTTGGACGAGCTGTTTTCCCTTTTCGAAGTTGTTGACTGTATCATAGCAGACAATGGCACACAGTTCACACGATGTGGATTTAAGCATTTCTGTCACTCATTCCTGATCGAATATATTACCACGGCGCCATATCACCCAAGAAGTAATGGACAGGCAGAGCATTTTGTGGACACTTTCAAGAGATCACTGAGGAAGGCGAGAGATACTCCCACATGTAACTTGAAGAAAAAATGATTACATAATCAAGATGTTGATATTCCACACTACTTCAAATAAAAGGCAAGGAAGGAAATCTCCATTATTACTGGAAAGAGTAATAACAGTTATTGGGCTTGAGAAACCTGTTTTTCTGAAAAAAAATGTTTTAAGAGAAAGATTTTAGAAACTTCAACCGAAAGGCTGCTCGGCCACTGAATACCAAATGTTTCCTTATAAGGAAACATCTGATATTACCATTAGCTTAGATACAAAACCATAGCATTGGATCTTCAGCTAATTCAACAAGAAAATTAGCCCGCGACATATACTTGTTAATATCCATTACTTTTATGGCCATGTAAAGTACTACCTCGATTATCCGCAGCACGATTTTCCGAATTTCGATTATCTGGAAACAACCATGGTGACATTTCCTGATGATAAGACAGATCATTCTGTGTTTGTATCAACACGAGTTTCATTTTGCCATCGTTCCTTATCTTTACATCTTGAAATTGAAACGGCCTTGACTAAAACATAACCAAAAAAGATGGTGTTATCTGTTGAAGATAAATATAAGTCTACCCTTACAAATACATCAGCATTCATCCAGCTTCAGAATTTACCACAGAACCCCCGACCTTAAAAAAAAACAAAAAACAAAACAAAAAAAAACAAAACAATTTTAGCCGGAAACAGACAAAACGCATTTTTCATAAAAAATAAATCGGATAAAATCTTGATCAAAGCGTTTGGAAGTATTTTTTTTTATGATATAAACGTTAAAGTTATATAAAAAAATTACTTTTTCTTTATTCTTTTTCGATAATTTAGATATTAAGTTAACAAGAGTTTTTTTTTAATTAACCGGTACGGTTAATTAATAAATTCTGGTTAACTTAATATCTAAATTATCGAAAAGGAATAAAGAAAAAGTAATTTTCTGATATAAATTTAACGTTTATATCATAAAAAATTTTTTTTTTTTCCTGCCTTGTCCGGATAATCAAACAGAGCTGGGCAGAGTATTGCGAGACAGGAGGATTTCTTTGGTAACAAAGAAAAGAATACTGAGCTCTTACGTGACATTTGTCCTTCTTTACGGCGGTGAATGTTGGACGATTTCCTCAAAGATGAAGAAGAGACTCGAAGCAACGGAAATGTGCTTCTACAGAAGGATGCTAAGGATATCATAGATCCGAACGCGTGAGCAACGGTGAGGTCATAGAGAGGATGCAAACAAGGAGGAGGATTATGCTTAACATGAGTAAGAGGTAGCTGAAGGTTCTGGGACACATAATGAGGAAGGAGGGCCTGGAGAATATGATACTCACGGTCGAATAGAAGGAAAGAGAGACAAGGGAAAACAACGCATGACATACCTAGCGGCCTTAAGCAAGTGGATGACAGAATGTGGTCTGGGGAGATGGCAGAGGGAAGTAACTTGTTGAGAGCTGCAAGGGATAGAGAGGGTGGAGATCCATGATCGCCTACGTCGTGAAAGGATATGGCACATAAAAAGAAAAGAAAGACTGTCGTTAGCAACTTTTTCTACGGGTTCACTTAAGAAAAAGTATCATTAATATTAGGAAAGACTCTTAAATGATAAACAACTTTTTTTTTCATATGATCGCAGGACTTAATTAAATTCTTAACTTTTTACCTTCATTAGCTTTTTTTTTGTTGAAATTGTTTCTTTTTTTTCCTTGTTAATTCTTGAACAATCTTTACATAACGGAAATCAATGAATTCGATCTCTGCCGGATTTCAGCAAATAAAAAAATGTGTCTCTGTGAAAGAGAGAATGCAAACACATTGAGTGTTGACAGACGACACATTCGAATTCCCAAAGAAATGGGATTTGTTCATTCAACACTAAAGCTCTTATTAAAATCTCCACCTTCCCGCATTGTTCTTTCATTCTTTCTTTCTTTCTTTCTTTCTTTATGTGCCGTGTCCCTTCAGGACGTAGGTGATCATGGCTCTCCACTTCGCCTTATCCCTTGTAGCTCTCAATATGTTTTATACTTTTGCTACTTCTCCCAAACCCTGTTCCGTCATCCACTTGCTTAAACCCGCTTGGTATGTCACGCGTTGCTTTCCCTTGACCCTTTTCCATCTCCGAACTGTGAGTATCAAATTCTCTAAGCCCTCCTTTCTCATTACGAGTCCCAGAAATTTCAGCTACCTCTACTTGATGTTAAGTATAAACTTCCTTCTTGTTTGCATCCTCTCCAAAACCTCATCGTTGCTGACATGTTCGGTCCATGATATCCTCAGCATCCTTCTGTAGAACCATACGTCCGTTGACTCGAGTCTCTTCTTCATCTTTGTGGAGACCGTCCAACATTCGCTGCCGTATATCAAGTAGCAGTTCAATTACTCTTTTGTTACAAAAGAAATCCTTCTGTCTCGTAATACTCTCCCTAGCTTTTGGAATGCGTCTTTGGCCATCCCAATACATCTTTGGATCTCAGCATCGCACTTAGCGTCCTCTGTCAGAACATTTCTCAGATATTTAAATTTTCGCACCTGCATGATTTTAGTGTTCCCGGCCTGTAAATTGCATTTTGAGCTCATCTTAAAAATGTCATGTCACAGGTATAACTGGCCGAGAAGAGACGGCTTTAGTGAGCCCTTGAGACACCACTCTCCTATACCTAACTTATCGCACAGGGGGAAAAGCTATTACCTTCAAAGTCAACTTAGAAGGGTTCCACTAAGTCCGATATATATCTAGATACACCACTAAGTCTGTAGCTTAATAACGAAAAAACAAAAAATAAAAAAAAAACATTTCACAGAACATATTTTTCAAACTAATTCAGTTGTTACATACATCGAATATTATACAGTGAAAATTTCAGATCAAAATTCAGCTAACAACAAGGTGTCAGGCTTATTGCTCTCCCTTCGTATACGAAGGAGCGTCGAAAAGATCTTGGGTTGATAACTTTTTAGTACCTCCTCAGATATCACGTGGGAGCCACGTCGTGTTTAACAAACTTGTCTGCTAGTTATTAATGTATTTGCTTCTCACTAGGTGTCCTATATATATATATATATATATATATATATATATATATATATATATATATACTATATATATATATATATATATATATATATATATATATATATATATACAGTTTCACCAATTCACCCCAAGCAAGGCGATAATGCCACTAAGACGCAAAGAGCTACTGGGAGTGAAAGAGATTGAGAAAACTTTAGATGGAACCGGAAAACCAATCTGTTATATAGGAATAAAGTGTCGCTGCCGACAATTGAGTTTGAACATAGATCGCCAGTGTGCAAACACAGGCAATCCCATTATTGAATTAAGTAGACCACGTGACTATAGAGGAACGCATAAGTAGAAAGTAGCGATACGTCTAATTGAACGCTATTTCTAGTCTATCCTCTATACTATACGGGTCACCATTTCAAGTCTATACTATTTCTCTATTCGGTTCACTGTACGGATTACTATTCGAGCGAGTATTATCGAGCAAGTACTATTAGTGCGAGTGTTATTCGAAGGCGTCTGACACCTGTATTGTTCAACGGCGTTACTATAGTTGTGTCTGCGATTACAAAGTCTCTACTACAATGAGCATTACGAAAGTGACAACGAGTATCCGTTAACATTACAAAAGTGGCAACGAGCGTTCGTTGACATCACAAAACAAGGGATAAACCTCAAATCGTGTTAAAAAAACAATAAAAAATAAAACAGCGAGAAGTGTGAATAATATACTCGATTATCAAGACGGCCGACTCGACATTTCTCAGATGAGAGCTCCACAAGAGCCTATTTAAAACTTATGTACCAATTTCGATACGCAACGTACTTATCAGGGAGCATTTATCTTTAAAAACAAAAATAAAAGAAAAGCATTAACTATAAACTTGAAACTTGGGAAATATTTACATCTTGTTGAGGAATGCAAAAGGCGTGTTTGGCGAGATCAGTGCGAACCGATTGAAATCGGATACAGAGGCTTTGCTGGCCGGTCACTCTATAAGATGTTGCCAAAATTATGTGTAACAGGCTTGGAAAAGAACAATACCATTCACTAAATAACAATGGCAGCAGAAGAAACCTTTAGATGCTTATGGCTTAAAAGATTAAGTGATTAGCAGTCAGTAAAGAAAAGAAGGAAAGTTGCGGTTGATATTATTATTATTATTTATTTTAGGCTTCATTGGAATGTAGCTCTTGGGTATGACCTAAAGATACACCTGACAACGAAGTCTATACTAGGAGACAGAATTAGGGTACCGCGAAACCTTGTTACCTATGGGTGATCTGTGGCTAAGATCTAGCACATGTGTGCCCCCCTTGCGAGGAAGGACGGTTTTTATATATATGTATATATATATATATATATATATATATATATAAAAGTTTTTACATAGAAGTCAATACTTAGAGGACAGTCTGTTTCATGCTATATGCAATCGT